TGTTGGTGTTGGTGTTGGTGCTGGTGCTGGTGTTGGTGTTGGTGTTGGTCCTGGCACTCTTGCTGTTGCTGGAGCAACTGCTTTTGCCGTCGCTCTTGTTTTTGCTCCTGCTCTTGCTCTTGCTGTCGCTGTTGATCTCGCTCTCGCTCTTGCTCTTGCTCGCATAGAACCTGCTGTGTGATGGACTGCCTCACAGCACAATGCGGTCTATTGTCGTGCTGAGGCCGTGGAAAACCTAGGGAGGCAGCAAGCGATTCTGGCTCTATGCTGAGGACATCGGGGATCAGGGCGTGGAACTACACGTTGCAGGCGCAGTGTGGCTTGCAAGGAGGGACCGGCAAAAACGGTTCGGTTCGATATGTTCTCAACTGTGTCGGCACGGTAAATGCGGACAGTGACATACTTCTTTAGCTCCAAGCTGCGCAAATTTCCCCCGGCATCAACCCATCAACACAATGCTCGAAGTATATCGAAGTTGTGTACACAATCATAGGTCAAGTGGTTATGGCTTCCATGGTTAAACTGCAACGAATTGCCAAGCACTGGTCCAGCACCATCGCCGATTCGAGAGCTGCATTGATGCCCTGCCCAACCTTCAGGCGGGGCGAGAGAGACACTGCTTCTCTGGTGTCTGCTGTTCGTCTTCTGTTCAACGAAAAACCCTAACCTTCCTAAACCCCTCAGCCTTACATCCTTAGACTTACACTTTAAAACCTCAACCCTAACCCTGAACACCCTGATCCATTCAAGGCCATGCAACAAACCCACACAACGCCCAAGCCCTGAACCCTGAACTACAAGAATGGCATCCCAGCGACAGGGGGGAACGGGTTGCCGGCATCACCCAGCAGGACCAAACGCCCTGCCGCTCGGCGCACTTTATGGTTTAGAGTATTCAAGAGTTTAAAGAGGTTTACGGTGTAGGGGTTTAAGGCTTTAGGGCTTTTGAGGCGTATGGGATCAATTACAAAGGGTTGTTTGATGCCATCGCAATGCGAACTAGATGGCATGCTGTAATACGTAAAAACTGCAAGGTTGATTGGAAAAGGGCCCTTGCTTTAATTGAGGGGTTTGGGCATGAATCAAATCAGACCAGGACAAAACAAGAAACCCCAGGACACAGGAGTCTGACCGCATGAAACACAGCAAGCCCGGAGCAAGCCACACCCAGGACGTGGGAGCCCACCGCATGAAGCAAGCCCGAGCAAAAAACAAATCCAGGACACAGGAGTCCGATCACATGGAAAAACAAACCACCAAACAAACGAGACAGGAAACCCACCCGACAGAACAAGAAACCCGGGACACCTGAGTCCGATCGCATGAAACAAAGCAAGCCCGGAGCAAACATGTAACCCAGGACACAGGAGTCCGACGGCATGACAGAAAAAATAAACACAGCAAGCAAGAAACGCAGGACACGTGAGTCCGACCGCACGAAACGAAACAAAGCAAACCCGACAAAGCAAGAGAACGAGAGGGAGGGAGAGAGAGAGAGAGAGAGAGAGAGAGAGACAGTCGTTGTAGTCTGCAGCAGCGTGTCACAGTGCTGGCTGCAGCGGATGCAAAAAAGCAAGGGCTGAACACTCTCGCACATTGACTGCATGTCATCTCAAGGGAAGCCTCGCAGGCAAGAATGCTGAGGAGCGCCCTAATCACATCTCATGAGAGTTAGGGTCACCGTAACGGTGGCTTAGAAGCTCACACATGAGCTTAACATCTTCTTGATGCCCGGGACGGCCAGGAATGCACATAAAATCGAATCAGGCATGCTGGTAGCTGCGTAGCGAGCTTGAGACACGTCGCTGTGCGGCGTGCAAAGCGACCACGAGTGGCCGCAGCGTGGGAGCCACCCTGGCCCACTGTTTAGCGGCTTCTTTGGGCCGAGGACCAGCTTGAGCCCAGGGTGTCACGGAGGACACTAGCAGCGTTTGTGTCAAAGCCGCGAAAGACTAAGAAGGCCGATTGTAACACGCGCCATCCTTCATGAAAGCTATGGGCAAGGACATCTTACCATCTTCAGGAGCGCGGAAAAGGCTACCGTGAACGCGGGCGGCCGTCAGGAAAGGCGGTACCAACAGCTGGAGAGGCTGATGGGTCTGAGTGAGTCAAGTTCGCCAAAAGGCTTGTTTGTTTCTGTAAGTGCGTTTGATGCCAGTTGCGCAACTGGGCTGGCCAAGCATTGCCGGATTCGATAGTGTCGAACAGATCACTAGCGAAATGGAAAGCACTGTCCGGCAAGTGGACAAGCTCCGCACCCGCCCATCCGTCCATGCCCGGAGCCTTGTTGCACTGGGCCGGAGCCGCCGCACGAAGTTGTGCAGGAGTCAAGGGCGGCAGCTGAGGGGCCGGGCTGTTGGGTCCACACGCCCTGCCAATCACCGCCCGGAAGGGCCCGACCGGAGAGCGGGCATTTAACGGAAGTGGAAGGGGGTTTGGTCTTATGCTGCGCGAGGCGCTTGCACACCGCAGCGGGTTTACATCAATGCGGGCAGCACTGAAGCGTTCTGCTACCTCCGCGACGGCTGTTTGAATCCAAGTGGCAGTCCTGCGTCTTATTACAGACGTCAGTAAGAAAAACACCACAACCTGAAGCATCTGCTTCCTTTGGACATGTTTTTGCGGAGCTCCACATGAGCACGTTGGTTGTGTGGGTGCCAAAGTCTCCTAAGTCTAGCTGACTTAGTAGATTGGCGGGGAACAGAGCTGACCTGACGTGGCGATGACTATGCTGAGACCGATGATGGGCTCAATCTGCTTGTATGCTTTATGGCCATCTCAAGTTGGCGGCAGTCCTCTGGGAAGACCTGGCGTAGCGCATCTGTGAAAGTGCGGTCAAGTGCCAACATGAATGCGGACCAATCCTTGTCACGAGGCTGATACAACCGCCAAGCCTCTTCAAGGCTTGAGACCAGCAACCGGTTGAGACATCGGCCGGCTTCGTATAGTCAGGTTGCAACCTTTACATGGCATGTGCACTCCAGTCCTGAGCTCGGAGCGCTGTAGCTCTCTGTTCCATCTTGTGAGTCTGAGCCCGAGGCTGGGACCAAGGCTGAGACCACCAGGACGCACGTTCCCATCTCACCTTGCGGGCCTCTTTCTTGGGCGCATCAACCCGTACTATCCCGTACTCGTACCATCCTTCTGAGGTCTTGGCAAGGGCCCGCCAGGCGTCAGACGGAGGCCGAGGCCAAGCAGCAGACTCCGCGGAGCCAGCCACAACGTAATCTTGGTCATCTGAGAAGTTTGAACATTTCATCATCGCGACTGCCCTTGTTCAACAGCAATGAAAGTTTTCGCAAGAGCAGGGGATTTCAAGGTCTTCTTGGGCCCACCGCCTTGCACGTGGTACCTGCTCGGGTGGGTTATGACTAAGGACCACGCCACGGCACATTTGAGGCAAACAGCTCAGGATACACAAGATGGCATTGCACCACCCTTTGAACGCACCGGCGCTGAAGCTCCAAGTTTCGCACTCCATTACGGAGCCCGCCGTCACCACGTGGAGGTAGTTGCTGACGGCCCCGAACAAAACAAGAAACCAAGGACACAGGAGTCCGATCGCATGAAACAAGGCAGCAAGCCCAGAGCAAACACGAAACCCAGGACACAGGAGTCCGGCCCACATGAAGCAAAGCAAACCCGGGCAAACAAGCAACCCAGGACACATGAGTCCGACCGCACGAAACACAAGCAAACCCGAGCAAAAAGCAAACCCAGGATGCGGGAGTCCGACCGCATGAAACAGGCAAAAACTGAGCAAACAAGAATCCAAGTACACAGGAGTCCGGGCCGGGCTTCGAATATTTTAGGATCTGCAGCGTTCAGCTTATGTGGAGGTGTGTACATGAGTGCCCTGGCTGTTGTAGAAAGTAGAAAGACGTTTCGAACGAAACACGTAGCACAGTGTACGACAGAAGCATACAACGTCAGGCCAAGCACCGCAGATCTGCGGAGGCATCATGTGGTTCAAATGCAAGACACGCAAGATCTCTGCTGAGGTTTAGGGCGTTCAGCGTATTCTGAAGGATGGTCGCATGTGGCTCGCCTGCATTGAAGGTGTTGCAGACCACAGCCCGTCCAATGTGCACACACTCCCGCTTGGCGAAGGCTGCCAGCTCTTTGTCAGACACATGCCCTTGGCTGTCACACTGTTCTGGAATCCGTTCGAACGATTGGTGCTGCTACTACTCCTACTACTCCTTTTCCTCCTCCTCCTCCTCCTCCTCCTCCGTCTCCTCCTCCTCCTCCTCCTCCTACTACTACTACTACTACTACTACTACTACCACCGGAGTTGCACAACTCGCTTGCAAAACGACCTGCAAGTTCACTCCAGCGGCGAAGCACTTTGGGAGCCGTCTTCTTGATGTATCTAATCGCGTCCGGAACATCTTTGAACTCATTCTTGCACCTGAAGCCTATCTGGCAAAACCTTGGTCAGGACGAGTGCCCAGGAAGCTCAAAAGTCAAGTTTGCGGGAGCTGCAGGGATGCCTCATGTCAAGACAACGTAGAACATAAAGACGAAGACATGACCCCAAGACAGCTCAACTCGGCTCAGACACCATTTGGGATCTCTGGGGCCACCGTCGCCATTAATTGCACCAGCAACAGCCGGGGGATCGATGTTTAGCACATAGAGCCAGGACGGATCCAGCTCCTCTGTGTTTTGGTCGAAGTGGACCATTGTGCAGAAGTTCGTCAAAGATGTCTTCTCACTCTTGAAGCCCGGCACATCGGCCATGACTTTGGTCCGGGCCGTGCTGCCAGCCCCATCACAGGCGACGACCAAATCAAAGCTTTTTTCGAGGACGCCGCCGACGCTGTCCTTGAGAACCACAGTGCCCGTGTAGGCGTCTTGTACTTCCGCTGTCGTGCCGAACACAAACTTGACCTTTCCTTGCTTGCTTTCGTCGTCTCCATACCGCGAGCAAATCAAGATTCAGCATTGCTGAAGCCATTCTTGGAATACAGACAAACAAGGGAAAAAACTCAGGACCGCAAGGGACCTCGAGCCCTGTCTTAAAATCAGCCCCATCTGCCTGACTGCATGGCGCCTTCCTAATCTGTGCACTTTTCCAAAGCCACTTCTTGAGAACTAAGGCTCCGGGATATTTCTCCCTGCATTCGCGCATCAGCGCCCGGCAGATGTCCCCGCGGGACCCAGTCCAGCCCGGACCCGTCCAAGGCTCTTCCTTCCCAAGCGGTAGAATGCGGATCCCGCGGAACCTTGGGCGACTGCTGGGCTGAGAGAAAAGGGGGGGGAGAGTTCGCGCTGGTCATCACTGCCTTCATCCCCCGGTTCCCCCGTTCCCCCTTACCCAAAAGCCAGTCCGGGAAACTTGATCAACTGCTCGTCGAAGCGATGCACCACTCCCAGGTAGTCCAGTGCGCGTGCCCCGTGACCCGTGATGTCGATGGTGTAGCTTCGGTCAGGATTGTACCGCGGGGCCGTCTCATGGTCTTCTGCCTTGCAACTGAGCATTCGGGATCGTCCCCACAGAAAGCCCACAAGCCCTTGCAATCCCAACCCTGTCGCCCTGAAGCATCGCTAAGCCCTGAAGAACTGCCCTCAACAGCCTGGTCGTAGACGACGACGCCCCCCGAAAAGCCACGTCTCGCGATGCCCAGGGCGAGGCCCAGGCCGGCTGGCCCGGCTCCCAGAATGCAAATGCAACGGCCCTGCACGGCGCTCTCTTCCGAAGCCGCCATGTCTTCGCCAGTCTCTGCTTGCCCGGTTTTCTACATGTATTATAGATCAAGCTAGAGGTGCATCAGGTCTACATACATACTTTATGAACGGAAATATGTTGGTGAAGGCCTGCCTTGCGTCTTTTGCCTGCGCCGGGTGTCTCCCTATCGCAAAGCCCACATGAGAAGGCTGCGTAGTCCGACTGGTCCCAGAAAGGAAACCAGGCTTCCGCAAGCCGACATAAGCCGACCTACAGTAGCTCAAGGAGCCCTCCGGACCCTGCTAATCGAAAGAACACAGCTTCGTAGCTTCACGGGAATCCCATGGCCAAGAGCTGCAAATCTGAACGGCTGGCCTCTAGCCTCTGGCTACCTCCCCCTAAATCTCCGGAATCGAACCTCCACGTCCACGACCTCCGAACTGGAGCTCTTCTTTTTACCAGCACTGGCGCAGCGGGAAGGCTGAAAATGGTTTCAAGAACATTGGTTGAATGAGTACTTCTCACGATGCTCTTGTCATTTCATGAAGGCTGTGGCTGAAGGGCAATCCTAGACCCAGTCTCCGTTAGCCTTTGGCATGACCTTCTAAAGTGAGAGATGCTGTCTGTCCTGCTTAGCCTCAATACTGATGACTGCAAGCTCTTCCGAGGCCACGAATGCCCAGCTGCGAAGACTTCTCAAGTCCCGAAACAAGCACTTCCCCTGCCTCGAAGCTTTGGGTGAAGCCTTCGGTGGGGGCTTCGTCTCTGCGGCCTGAACCAGCAGTTCGCGAAGACTCTCATTGGCCCCAAATGCATCTTGAAGGCGCAGCACAGCAAAGCCGGGATGCAAAGCCTCATGGTCAATACCAAAACGCAGCCCGAAAAGCCCGACGTCCCGACTCCGCCGGACCCGAAGCTTCAGCACTGCACCTGCTTGGCGAAGTCCCGAATCTGCTCGAAGGGTGTCTGAGGAGCCTGTCCGCTCTTCATATACCTGGCAGAGGCTAAGCAAGCTTCCGAAGAGTGAACTCGTCAGCCTTCAGGCAGCTCTTGGTGGCGACTGCTGAATACGGCCATATGATGGCTCCGGGCCGGAATAAACCCCGAAACCCCGTAAAACTCCGCCGGGCGTGACCGCACGAATTGTCCATCCTTCACCTCGAGCTCCTGAGAGCCCAACGCGCCCGAAATCCCAAAGACACAAAACATCCGGGATCACCCCTTGGGCCCCTAAGACCCTGGCCAGACCGCACATGCCGCAGTTGAAGGGCTCCGTGTTGCTACCTGAGCAGCGGCTCGTAGTCAGTAGGGCTTAGGGCTTTTTTAGGGCTTAGACCGAAAGACCGAAGCAAGAAACCGGGCTGACTCGCTGAGGGCGCAAACTTCGGGAATCGTCGATGGGCAATCCTACAGAAAGTCTCCTGAATCTTCATGCAGCTCAAATTTGCCCAAGGCTCGGGAATTGCTAAAAAGCTGCGTGATATCTCAAGACTTCATGGCTGAGGAACGAAGCGGCCGTGGCCTAACACTGGCAAAGACTCCTGATGCAGGCTCCACGGCCCTCCCCAAGATCCCTAGAGCCCAAGGCGCAAGACACAAACTGCGAACACCGAACCGTAAGAACCTAAGCCCGTCAATGCCATCCCCAATGCCCCCAAAATCTTGAGGGCTTCCCAAGCCCTCACCCGAAAAACCCTAAACGTGCACACTTCTAAACCCTCAACACTAGGCCCTGAACCCTATGCTCCAGCCGCCGAGGTCCCCTCAACCCTCCCATCGTTTCGGCCTCTCTGCAGGACACCGCAGCCTCGTGGAGGTCATTTCCGTTTAGGGTTTGGGTTTCGAGGGCTTCCGCTTCTCTTGGGATTTGCAGCTTATGGGGCTTAGGGTTCACCTTGGAGCAAGGTGAACTGCCGCACGCTGACTAGGCAGCCCTAAGTTGCTCAAGCTTTTGCAAAGTTGTGCTCAGCCTGATCCAAGTGTGGCAGCACTCAATGTATTAATTTGGGCGTTCGTTCAAGCTAGCCTAGATCGTGAACATTTAAACAGGAAAATGCTTGAAAACCTGAAGCGGGGCGAACACGACCCAGAATACAACCTAGGGACTGCATATATCTTCGCAGATTCATCCTCGTCACGCAAGTTGGAGCAACGGAGTTGACACTATGCCCGCACCGAAAGTAGACAACACCACTGCAAAGTGGCACAAACAATGGATAACTCACCAAAACCTGAAGAAGAGTTTGGTGGGCCTGGACACTGCCCTTCCGTGGTCGTTGCCTCGAAGTACCACTGAAGGCCTTGGTGCTTGGGGTGGAGCATCCCTTCAGGCTGTGGGCTCTCTAGTAACAAAAGCAAAGCCCGCGGATCGGACCGAAGATGGCGGCGATGGCCAGCAGAAAGATACCAAACTGCCCAAAAAGGGGCCGAGAAACAGGCAGGGGGATTCCAGAGACTCCAAGATTTCTCGTTGTGAAGGAGCTCTAGGTAGCAGTCACTCCCTTTAATACAGATCCTCAGACTCCAAGACATTGGAGTCTCTGTCTGTCAAACTCGTCTGACTCGCACGATGCTATACCATCTATACCGCACACGATCAAGTTGCAAAGGCCAGTGTCGAAATCGCCTTGAACATGTAGAACAAGTTGATCAAGCTGATGATCGGGCTCAGGATGATCTGCGCAGAACGGAGCAGGGGGATGGCGAGACACAGGGGCCGCTTGGCCCAAAGCCTTTAAACCACAAACCCTAGTGACCTCATGGATCCCAAGTGTACCCTGGACACTGATTCACTCCCGGGGCCCTACATCGATGAAACTGCGCATTGAACCCCAGAGAGAGTCTCGGTCCCTGCCGGCTACCCCCAAACTACCCCAAAAGTAAACCCTCAACTCCTGATTCAGCCCAGTTACAGCAAATGCCCAGCTGGCCCCCAAACCACTCCAATGTGAACACCAAGTCAGAATACACTCCGAATGCCAAGCATGACTGAAAGGTGTACTCTAGACTCTCCTGACATCCCCACACCCTCAAGGCAAAGCTACAACTACCCCCCAAACCCCAATGAAACCTGAACCCCTGAGCCCGAAGTCAACCCTGGACTCAACTATAAACCCCAAACCCTAAACATAAGTAAAACCGTGAACCCTAAACCCAAAATTGCACCCCCAACCACCCCAAAGTAAACCCTCAAACCTACCAAAACCGGAAAGCGCAAGCTTCAAAACCCAGAGCGAAAGCCTGACCCTAAACTCGTTCCTCCTGAAAGCACCCCACAAATTGTATCCTAACCCCTCGGTACACCCCAGATCCTAAGCCCGATTTACACCTTAAACCCTAGCCCTAGACTAAACGTTTCAACTTGCCCCTAAACCCTGACTGCTAAAACCCGATGAAAGCAGGCAACAACAGACTCCTTACACCCCGGCCCACACCAAAGAAAAACCCAAACACGAATCTCTTCCACTTCCCTAAGCTCCACCCTAAACACTAATAAACCCCAGTGAATCCATGTGTCCGATACACCCGCTACACCCCACGGACCACTGCAAGGCGAAACCCCTAAGCCGTACTTACACCCCCAACCCTTAGCTCGAAATTAGGCCCTAAACGCCAATGAAACCATGCAACCAAAACACACCACCTTGCAGTAAGACTAAATTAACTAAACCCCCAACCCCAACTGCACCCCAAACCCTAAACCCATGCAGGCTACCACAAACCACTCCAAACTTTGAACCCTTCCCGAACCCTGAAATCCAACCCCAAGTAACCTACACCTGAATTTGTACCCTACACCCTACAGTAAACTCCAATGATACCAGTTACCCTACAACCTGCCTGCACCCGAGTGAGCCCTAAAACCCCAATCAAGCCATCTACCGCTTTGCCGAGCCCCAAACCACATCAAAGCATCTCGACACCGAGCCTAAACCCTAGACTGTAAGCCGGAGATGTGCCCCACACTTGGGTGAAACCCTGCACACCGACTAAATCCGAAACCCCTAACCCACAATCACCCCCAGATAGACGCGAAACCCCACCCACACCTGAACCGTGAGCCAAATGTATCACAATTCCGGAGTAAACTTTGAACCCCAGTGAAACACTGTACCCTGAACTTCGCGAACACTTCACCACCCCAAAGCAAACCCCAAACCCTCAGCCCGAAGTAGACACTGCAACCCAAGCAAACTCCGGATCCTGAAACTTACACCGGCTGACATCAGGTACCCAGAACGCTCCTTCGCCCTTTTTCACAACCCTAAACTCTCTTTACCACCATCTCAAGGTAAACTTAAGAAACGACTACTTACCTGCTAAACCCTTCAACCGAAGTACACCCTAAACCCTCTAAGCCCTCAACCCCAACTGCACCGTAAACCCTGAACCTCGCTGAAACCATACTACCAACACCATGTACCCTAAACCACATGCCTGTCGAACCCCACCCGGAGCTTAACCGTGCCTAAACCGCGCTGAAACCACGCACCCTAAATCTTTGTTCCACCAGAAGGTAACCTTTTCCCTGCTTAAACCCTACCTGGGCCGGACACATACCCTAAACCCTCGTAAGCACTAGACCCTACAGCCCAAGCTCGAATTCCACCGTGAACTGCAAGCTCTTAACTCCACATAAACAAACATTAACCGTAAACCCCGCTGGAAATATGCACTCTGACCCATCGTCACATCAGAAAGTAACCCATTCGGTTCTGCTCAAACCCTAAGAAACCCTAAACCCTAAACTCCACTAGAACCACACTTAACCTCCACCAAGCCAGGACCTTGAAGGCTAAGCCCTCTGAAACCTTGCACCCTAAACACGTGTTGCACAACAATTTAACCTTTTCAACCCTGTTTAGACCCTAAACTTAAACCTTGAGCCCGCCGAAGACCCCAAATTCTGCAGACCCCTAAACCAGAAAATCTACTCAAACCACGCACCCTAAACCTCGTTGCACACCACAGACCAGTGCAAGATAAGTTGCACCACACAAACCCTAAACCCCGAAGCCCGAATCAAACTCTAAACCGCGATTAACGACTTACGACGGGACCTTGACCCTAAACCCAACTGAAGCCATGCACCTCGAACTCTTTAAACGCTTTGCACCAGAAAGCATCCTTCCCGACCCTGCTTAAACCTTAAATCCTCAGCCGACTGGAACCCAAACCTCAACTCCACTGACACCATGTACCCTAAACCCTCGTTGCACCACAAGCCATCTCAAGGTGCACACTCACTCACTCACTCGCCATGCGGAAGGTCCGGCGCGAAACAGGTCATGCAGCCTAAAAAGTGACGTGCTGTACGCCACAGGCGAAGAAGTGAGACAGAGAAGGCACGCAGGCGAGCCGGAGCTAGCTCAGCGACCGCGTGCGATAAACGAAGGCCGCCCGAAGCGGCAGCACACGCGGTGAGGAAGGGCCGGGAAAGCTGGAAGCAAGGCTGCTCAACTCTTGACGCCAAACGGGCGAAGAGGAGGACACATGCTCCATCACGAAAAACCGAGAGGAACCAGCCGCGAGGACCGAGAACACGGCAAATGGCAAGAGAGAACGGAGAAGGGAGGTACCAGTGTGGCTTGGCACACCCTCAATCCTGGCGACCCCTCTTTGTTGCAAAGCGAGACACACAGTTCGCAATGCCACAGAGGCCGCAAGAAAATCCAACAGCCCGGCAGGAGGTTGTTTCTCATCCTGCGCGGCATCAGACCCATTTGACGCAACAGGCGATGCAAGACGCCGCAGCAAACCAGCGGCCTGAAAGGCTTCCGGAGACCAAGATGGGAGGTGCTGCATGGCATGCCACAACTTCCAATACCGGTGCCAAGAGCGCGGGAATTGACAAACAAACTGCCCAGACAATAAGCCTGTCCACAAGGGCGATGGGGTGTGCCAATCAAGCGGAGAGACAGCCGAGAAATCCACGATCGAGAACCAACGCGGAGTTGACAGGGCAGGTACCTCAACAGCTTCACAGACGAGTGGGGAATGGTGCGGGGCAGGCCGGTCCCCAGGTGGAACAGGCAGAGCGGACGCTCCATCCCGAAAAGCGCAGGCAAGATTGTCGGTCCAGCTAAAGACATCCCTGGAGCCGGTCGCGGCCTGAAGTTCATCAGCCAGTTCAACGGTAGAACATGCCCGCATCTCGTCGGCAGCCCGGCGTTGGGCAGCAGTCGCATTCAGAGGCCCCGGAAGACGAAGAGCAGGCAAGCCCCTATGCTGCCTGGTGCCAGTGCGTTTAGTGCCAGTCCCATACTCATACACCTGGCCAATCACCACACGGAGGCCGTGGACACAAGCTGCACTATGGCGGAGGTGATATTTAAGGCGATCCGTGGAGTGGTGATCGGTATGGCACCACAAACACACCGTACCAAGTGTGTAACGAGTCAAAACATTCACAACCGAATGCTTTCGATGCAAGTGTGCGGCAAGAGCTTGCTTACTTGGACAGACGCAACTACAAAGCGCGCATTGCATTGGACAGACAGACCCAACAACGCTCCGAGATCGCGGCGTAACAACATCCTGCCAAAGATCCCAGACGGCCTGAAAAAGAGAGCCCCAATCGTCGGCAAGCCTTAAGGATCTGCGGTGAGCGCTGACGCACATACAACAGAGATGTCGTAACACATTGATCCGTGCCAGGTACCGCAGCTGCCGTGGTGCGGAGACTATCTGCGAGAATCTCACACCAGGGAGTAGCGCGATTCCAAGCCGCATCAAAAAGGGCAAACAACTCGGCGGGCGCCTTGGTAACCAGCTGGACGACCAAACGAGTGCGGGCAATGATAGCAGCATGTAATGGCGTGGTGACCCCGATAACCGCACCCAAGAGAGGGGCGGTGAGCACATGGCCAAATTGCCAAGAGCCGACAATGGTTCTGGCTGCACGCTCATAAAAACCCGTAAGAGGGCTCCAGGCGCGGGCTGACACCGCAAGGGAGGTAGCCAATGTAGCATATGCAGCGGGAAGAACACGCCCAGACATCCATGCGATCTTAAGAGCCCAAGGAAGGCGAGGACTGGAGAGCAGGTTGTGGCCATGCGCCCATGCTCCGCAGGCACGTTGAGCACAAAGCTCCACATCTCGGCGGCCTGTGTCACGCGCCGTTTGCACAACACCTAAGTATCGATACTCAGGAGCAAGGCGAAGAACGATGCCGGGGCCAGGGAGAGCAGACTCACCCGATAGAAGCTCGCCTCGGACACATTTTGCTTCCGCCCCGCGTATATCAAGAATGGCTTCAGTCTTACCGGCCCCCAGGTTCACACGGAACTTGAGCGCCTGCAGAGTAGACACAACGATTTCAGCAACTCTCGGAAAGCGGGATTGTAACTCTCGGGGCTGAGCGAAATCCGTAAGCACAGCCAAGTCATCCGCCCATCCGAGTTGAAGCAAGTCATCAGAACACCCAATGATGGAACCGGTGCCATAGTGGCCTAGCTGCTCTTGCGAGCAGACGCGTCTGACATGCTTCAGGGCGATGGAGAACAATGCTCCAAAGATGATGTCCGCAAGGCCATCACCCGGGCGTGAGCCGCGTGTCGCAACGTAAATGCGCTCCGACGACACCAAACGCCAATGCGAGCAGGACACGCAATCCTGCAGGAGCTGACGCTCCTCAAACGGCACGCCAAGGCATTCAAGTGCACCACTCCGCAAAAGGTCAAGTGCCAAAGGCGCCAGATGTCCACCATCAAGGCCCTCGTAGGGCTCGCCAAGACTGTCACCCTCAAAGACCAAGCTCCTGCTGGCCTCATAGTAAGCAGCCTGAACATCCACAAAGACGACAGCGACACTCCGTCCAGCCGCGTGACTGAGGTCAACAGCACAGCGATACGCGGCCCCAGCGAAACCGACCGGGATGCCTTTCCTCCCCCCCAACTGAAGGGGGTCATAGCCCTGCAAGACCGTCTGTCCCAGAGTAGAACGGAGATGGCTATGCCACACTTTAGCCATTCCGTTCATCAACGCAATGGATCTGTAGTTTTGTGGTAGTGCGGCAGGACCCTTTTTATACAAAGCACAAATGAGGGCAAGTTTCTCCCGTCCGGACAGGGCAATCAGAGTACAAACTTGCCAAAACCATTGCCCAGCGTAAGCTGGAAAGGAGCGCCATAGTTCATTCAGAACCTGGTCGGGTCCCGGGGCCTTAGTGGCCTGCTGCTTGCGACAGAGGTGTTCGAGCTGGAGGAGGGATGGCATGGCAATAGGACATGACGGGGCCGGCTGGGAAGCCCAAGCAGCATATTCCTTAGAGATCTGCTCGACGGTCGAGAGTCGTCCGCCCTCTTGAGCACGTCCTCCAGTTGGGCATCTATGTCGTAGCCACCCGCGGCATAGACCGCCCTCCTTTCCGCAGCCTTACGCGAGGCCCAGCGCAATTTGGTAAGGGCCTCAACCGCCCTACCTTCGGCGTGCCATTGGTCAGTGGCAGCCTGCGTGAGGGCAAGAAAATGGCATGCTTTGTCCTGTCGGGCACGATCATGTACGACACGGGCTAGCCGTCGCTCTTGGCCGGCCATCACCGCCCAAAGACGGCCTGAGTCACGACGAGCAGCAATGGTAGCAGGGCTCGGTGGCTCTCCCCGCCAACTGAGAAAGCAGGCCTGAAGACAACAAAGCTTATGGGCCCGAGCCACACACCGCAACTGCTGACGCCAGTCACGAAGGTCAACCAGCGCCTGAACGGTCGAAGGACGGAGGTAGGGCTGTCTGGGTTTCAGCGGGGCCCTGCGAGGAAGGCTGTGCAGTTGATCCGCGTAGCAGGCCAGGAGCCTAGAGATGCACTGGGCAGGAGTACTGGCAGGGCCAACTTTTTGAACTGGTAGGAGCGGGGCAGCGCAGAACAGCCCGGGCTCGCAAGGGCATATGATCCCTAGTAGAGTGACCAAGATCCAGATCAAGCGCTTGGCTGGTAGACGTGACTTCCCAGGGTCCAACTTGAAAAAGAAGATGGTCAAGCCGTTTACGGGTGCCTCCTGTGTGCTCCCAGCTCCATCCTGGACCGACCTGAATGTGGGGATGGGTGGCCGGGGTGAAGAGCCCGAGATGCAAACAAAGCTCGAACAAGAACAGGTCATTGCGCCCCGGCTCACCAGACGCGAGCTTGGACCCAACCAAGTCGCCAGGCTCGTCTTGGGCAAAGAAGTCAGCGTTAGCGCCAATACCCAGAACGACCCCACGAAGAGATGGGGCTCTCAGAAGGGCCGTGCGCAGCTCCTGCCAGAATTGCACCGCCTCTGAATGCGGACGTTCCGCGTGTGGTGCATGGGCTGAGCAGACAGTGAGCGGCAGCCTGGGATCAGTGCAAGTTATCAGCAGGATTCGGGGGCTGGAAACCAGAATGCGCCAAGCATCCAGCGTCAACACAGGCTGAACGATATCTGGCCGCACCCAGATTTCGCAGCCATATTGGCCACGGAGATGCCCGGATCGCCAAGATAACCAACCGCCTGTGCCCCATCTTCCTGGTCGACTCCGTGCCTCCTGGACGCACAGGACATCACAGGGGATCGAGGCAACTTGGTTCAGGAGATATTGCCTGCGAGCTGCATGCCCAGACGGATTAAAGATACTGCAGGAGGCATCCTTCATAGTCTGGACATTGGCCGTGATGACTGCGAGAGAGGCAGGAGGCGCTGGGCGGGGCCGGGGGCTAGGAAGACAGTCCTCGCCAGAAGCTTTGGGCGGAGGAATGGCCGCATCTCTGGTAGTAGTGGTTTCAGGGCGACGGGCGCTGCTGGCCTCATCGTCAGCCGGCAGAATGATATAGGGCTGACCGTGTATCAGCTGGGAGCGCGGGATAAGCCACAACAGAGGCCCAACCTCCTGAACGGCACTGACTAAAAGCCTGCGCTCCTCGGGGCTGCCAAGCAAGGCAAGCGGACACGGCATGCGAAGGCCTGCCAAAGCGTCGGCCAATGTGTTGGCCATAACCCCGACGTGACTGTGAACATGCCGAAAGAAAGTGTTCACACGTCCTTGCACAGCCTGCCACAGCGTCCGGGTAATCGACGCAATAGGGCCACCAGCAGAGCCCGAACCTGCCGCTACTTGCAAGGCCGAACTGTTGTCAACAGCGACGGTAACCGAGGCTGGAACGGCACCCATGTGAATGCGCCAGGTATCAAGGACAGTGTTGCACCATATTGCCGCAGCCTGCAATGCAACCAGCTCGCTACAATAAGAATGCTGGACAGAAGGGATATCAGAACAAAGGTGCCCCAGCCACGGCGTGGCATTGAGGACCATACCATCCCATCCGAGACGATACCACCTGCCGCGAAAGAATCCCCACACAACAAATGCCCAAGAACCTCCGTGCATTCCGCTACCGTCTGTGGCAATGAGGATCGACTCAGGAACACCACCGGACCAGAGCGGGTACGACCCCCATGTTGCATGATAGGCACGGGGAAACGAAGAAGGTAAGCCATCGCGAAGAGCACGGCTACCCCAGACACGGTGTAGAGCAGCCTGGAGGCGAAAGACTGCTGTCATATCCAGGCGCCAATCTGAACCAACACGAGACCATTCCGGAGCCCCACGCGCAGGGAGATAACAAGCAAGCTGGTCCAGTACAACCTTGGCATTACCGAGACCACACCAGACTAGCGGAAAGACCTGGGGCGCAAGGACTCCTGCCGGTCGCACATGCGACTCCGCCCAAAGTTGGGACCGCTGGGACCTACTGGCAACAGCAACTTGCCAGGCATGGTAGGACGGAGCGAGGAGACCTCCTGCTCGACGGCTGGCTCGAGTAATGCGTAGGCCTCTGGCAGACATCCCAAACACACGGTTACCGGAGTAGTGCGGCCATGACCCGCTGGCAAAGCTCAACAGAGACAACAGACAACCCCATCTGGAAGACCCGCATGCCAAACCATATACAAATCCAGCTTGGGGTGGCACGCCAATTGTGGTTGGCTGCGACCGGCACAGTGTAGTGGACGATATCACCATCACGCAGAGGTGGAAAGTCCTCAAGATCGACGCCTTGTCCCAACAGAGAGACTTGTCCAGGGTCAACCTGAGCAATCTGAGCCAGGGAGTACCTGGTTGCAGCAGTAGCAACCGTACGGCACTCGAAGGAGAGACTAGTGCCTTCGCACCGTTCCAACAGGATATTGCATGAATCCGGCGCGTCGGCGCGCTGGCATAACGTAACCGAGTCAGAGTAAGCCCAAGGAACGGGAACCCATCGTCCAGGGAATTTGACACGGAACCTGCCAGTGAAGGCACCTTCATCAGCGACCCAGCGCGATGGTGGGGGCATGGTGGTCCCCGATGGCCGACGTCCAGCTCGGCACACCAGCAAGGGCAGTTCGCATTGCACAATGAAGTCATAACTCCAGATCGCTGAATAGCGCACATGCTCGGGCGACACAAAGACAGGGGGCCCATACATATGTGCCTGTCCGCCACGCTGAAAGGCAAGAAGCACATCGCCAGAGCGCCAGTCAACTGCTCCTCGGGCAGATTGTCCATCCGTCTGTGTTGCCGGGGGAGGACGTATAGACACGAGAGGACCGGGCGTCAGGCGCCGAAGGTGGGCCAACACCCATTCAACATCCGCCCGTCTCGGCAGAAGGACAGCAATTTGCCATTCAGGCGAGACCACAGCCACACAAACAAGTTCTCCACCAGTTGGAACAGGGACAAAGACCAGAGTTTGCTGCCAGAGAGCTGGCCACAACGGCATGACCTCACGGTACCAGTAAGGCTCCTCCCCCGACAGCGCAATCCGGGCTTCTTCAACCAACGTGTCGGGGGTGAGGGTGGTTTCACCGCTTAGACCAGTAAACGGGGAAAGAAGACGGGCAGGGTTAGCCGACAACACGGATTCATGACAGGTGCGTTCATGCGGTGGCAACCGCCAGGGAAATTTCCCAACCGGGACTGCCTGCAACTGTTGCTGCTCCAAGGGCGGTGCAAACATGCCTGCAACAGCGAGAGAGCCAAAGCTCCAACACACTGGCCTAAACCAACGGGAGCAGCCCGCAGCGAGAATTGCGCCCCAGGGGAGTGTCCTCTGTTGCATCACATGAGGACCACCAGATGGAACAGACCACTGCAGGGGCTCGGAGTGCTCATCCGATGGATCAATCTCAACCGCAGAAGTGACAGTAGCAGTCGCCAGGAGTATAAGAAGACGAGTGCCCAGGGACCTGCCACCTGTCGCCAGGCTATTGGGGAGGACACCGGAAAGGAAGAGCCTTCCGATCAACTTCGGTATGAAGACATCCCCGTTCCTGGGCCAGTGTTGAACCACGCGGGCCTCAATATCAGGTCGCAGCTGCCAACCATCAGGGAGTAAGTTAGCCGCCTCGCGGGTAGCATCGGGATGTAGGAGGAGCCGGCAGCAACGTGTGGCCGCAATATCATGCGGGTTAACCAAAAGGATATGCGCTTCGTCGACCTCAGCTTGCTCAACAAAACTCACATCCTGATCCGGCAGGTGTGGGACCGGCACCCATCGACGGGTAGAGACGGAGCTCCCTTGGTGACTGAACATCAACCACGTAGGAGACCATATAGATCCGTCAGCAATCCAGAAACGGTTGCAATAGCTAGCTCCAGTGGCAGAGGTGCCCCAAACATTAACCCAACCACCTGTGCCAACCTGAGTCGGAACATGCCAAACATTGAGATGCGGAAGGCAATCAAGGGCAGGAACATAGAGCGCCTCTCGCCTACGGACCCTAGGGTGCCAGGCTCCAAGAGACACCTCAAAGGTGTCCCCATGTCGTAACCTCACGGGCTCATCCAAGTAACCCTCAACACGGCGCAGGGCAGGCGGAGCCATCAGCCGAAGACTCGGAACGGTGGCGATAGTAGACATGTACTCAGCAACTTGGCGGAGGGTAGCATATGCCGGCATCACAACCGCCCGACTGGATTCGGCAGAATGCAACAGAGTGGTAACAAATGGAGGCGGCGGCAAGGGGAGAACAGTAGTGAACTGCTCAGTGCTTTCCCCCCCCAGAGGAAGATAACTGGTAGCCCAGGTGCCGGCATCTTGGTGAACTGCCCGGAGAAAGTGCGCGAACTGATCCGTGCGAGAAAAAGTCTGCACTTCACCCCACCCCCGAAAGGGGCATAACACCTGATAATGACACGTGTTACGGGAGACAACATTATGCATAGGGCATCTGCGTGCAGGCTGCCAAGAACCGATGCGAGGGCTATGCGACCTCCGTGGCCGAGGGTCAGGAGACCTAGACCGATCAGGGCTAAATCGGCCGTCGCCCTCCGTCATGGCAAGAACCTGAGCGAAAGGAAACCATAGAAGGCAGCTGAGGCGGGAGGAAACGACAGCGAGGCAGCTGCCAAAGCTAAGCGCCCAAAGCAAGTCGTGTTGGCGAGAGGCCGCATCATGAAGGTCTGGCCAAGCTGAATCCTCAGAACGTCGCAAAGGTCCAGACACCACAACATCCCCATCGCGGAGGCAGAGGGGGGCCTGTGTGCCAAGAGCGAGCATGCCTAAGACTCGAGTACCTCTACCGGAGTCCTGGGTGCCCTCCACCAGGTCGCGCGGTGTAGCAAATCTCTCAATATTGAGACAGCGTACCCCATCAGCATCTTCATACAAGACATTAGCTGTGTCCGGGTCCTCAGCAGCACGAACAAGTTGTGGCACTCGGCACGGGGTCCATGGGGCAGGAACCCAACCTCCCGGAAAGTTGGTCATGAACTCACCGGAGAAGGTCAACGACTCGGGATCCCATAGTGTGCCCGCCGGCAAGCATGTCAAAATCGGAGGCCGGAGGTCAGGGGACCAAAGACGCACATGCATCGGACGCTGGATGACCATGACCCTCGACCACAGAACGTGATCCTTAACCTCGGAAGGGCTCCGAATAATATATCTGCCAGCATCAGCAACTTGGGACATGGCATCCAGCAAGTCCCCGTCACGAAGAAGAAGAGCCTCCTCAGTGACCCGGGCTCTCGCTTGCAGGCTGGGAGGGACACGAATCTGATTGAGGTCCCATCCGGTGAGGAAACGAGCAGTTTGCACTAGCCTAGCCAAGGGCAATTCAGTGGGTATTGCAATAGCACGAAATTGGCCATTATATTGTACAACGACGCACTTAAGGGCGCCAGAAATATGCACCCTCGGAACAAACCAAATCCGGTCCGCAGTCAGACAGGGCCAAACCGGCACCAGTTCAGAGGGACGCCCACTTTCATAATAATGGTTCCAAACCGTTTCCAAGTTGGTACGACGGGTATCTCCAGGACGCTGAACGGTACCCACAACGGCATCCGAAGCAGATTCGATTGTAGCCGTGGGCGTGGGAGCCTGCAGATCAGTGAGATCAGGTGAACTTGGCTCAGACGGGCTGGGAGTGCTCTGACTCAACGGCCCACACAGCAGGAAACAAAGCAAAGTGCCCTATAAGGCAAAACGGCACATGCAGCCCAACCAGGGAAGTACGGAACCCCGTACAGAGGAGAAAAAGGAGAGACGGGATCGGGCCTCTATTACTAGCTGACGACCCAGCAGGTGGATCCGCAATCACATACCCATGGTTCGTACCTCCATCCTCAACATCTTCATGAGAGTCCTGTGCTTCAAGCCTGGTCGCAACCGCCTGACACCTCTCAACCGATTGCTCCAAACCACCCAACAAGTGCTGAAAATACGAGACCGAAGCCTGCAGGTCTTCACGAAGGGCATTGGCGGCTGGTGTCTGCGGCTGTGCAGTAGGAGGGGAACAGATAGGTGATTCCCCGCGGGGCCCTCGACATATGTGGTAGTCGAACTGAGGCACCCAAGGCAGATCAGCCGGGGCATCCCAGACATTGGCAGTAACGCTCGAAGATGGGCGGCTGCCTGTACGGACAATGTGCAAGATGGTACCGTGAGGTGGAGCCACCAAGTCAGAGCCGAACGAGAGTATCCGTCCATTGTGCTGGAAGCCGAAAGTGCCTTGTAGGAAGCTCGGGGAACCAAAAGACTCAGCAGCCTCCTGAGCGAGGTACGTCCAGTCTAACGGGCCTGGAGTGGCACATACGACAGCGCCTCGACCGCGATAATGCATCAGCCAGAACACACATGGAGGGCAAACACCGGCAGGATAATGAATGACATGAGCAGCATCACCCCACTGACGAGGGTTAGTCCAAGCAAAGAGACCACCAGAATGAACACCCCGACAAGTGGAGGCAACAGCGGCAGCCATGCCCTCCGGGTCAGGAGGATCAGCAAACGGAACGACAACGGGAGCCGCGAGAGTATGTGTCCAGACCCAAGTCCGTCGAGGCAAACCGGCGGGAGCACCCCAAGCGGCCTGCGACCGCGTGATTATCACCTGATCCTGCATCATAGCGTGACAGAACGGGAGATGACCCAATACAAGGGCCAAGACAAATCCCAAACGACCAGGCAACAAAGATGCAGCAAACGAGACCCCAATGCTCGCTTCGGCCAAGACGAGACCTGATTCTGCAAGGTAACCGTAAACCCGGGTCAGCGGAGTAGCAACATTACCGCGCGCTCCATGTGGTAATTGGTACATTCCTGCAACTTCGGGGGTGGCGACTAAACTGGCTACCTGACCATGTGAGTTGATGGTGACGACGGCTCTGCGGTGGTCGTCAACCCAAGTGGTGACAGGTCGGAGGAGTTCACGTGACAAACCATCCCTAACAATCCACCATTTACTACCACCAGGAGGGACAGCAAGAAGATCCACAACCGTAGCCTGGGTATCGTAGGCAACAAGCAAGGCATGATGTCGTGGATCATGCCCCGCTGCAGCAAGCTTGGCCTCCAGCACCGAGGCAGCCGACCCTCGCGCAAAGTCGAAGAGTGCAGGACCCTGAAAGGGAAGCCAGAGCTGAACACGGACAGTCTCAACCGGCGCATGGCTATTAAAATACTCGGCTAGTGCAAGGGGAGAAACCGAGAAGTGTGTGCTCTGACACGAGAGCTCATGGCACCAGGCGACAGTACACGTCCGGGTGGGAGCACCGTGCGGGGGATGCATGTCATCCTCTACCTCATCCGGCCCACCTGAGCTGTTCAGTTCCAACCTGTCGCCAGAGTCTGAGTCGGCTTCGGTAGAAGAGGAGCCGGGGAACATAAAAGAAGCGGCAACAAGTATGCGAAGGTGCCAATCAGGTACAGCCAGCAAAAAGGCAAAGCCGATCATGCTTGGGGAACGGCTCGCAGCACTGCGCGAGGGAGGGCCGGGAGGACCGGAAGCTGGAGAGGCGCCATCATCAAAATCGAGGCATTCCAAACACGGATCACTGCCTTCATGCATGACATGACCGCACTGACCGGACAACGTCCGTACATCATCAGGCCACGTCCAGACCTGGTCAGGTCCGTGAATGCTCGTGCCGGGTAGATCCCAGAGTGACAGCCCTGCGACTTCGAGAACCTCATCCCAGCCAAGCTGAGAGGTACAGGCCGCATGCACCCAGTTACCCAAACGCAAGGCCCAGATGTGGCGTCCGGTAACGCACGGGATAGTGCACCGTACATGCATCTGCGGACATTCCAAATGGAACAAAGTGCCTTCCGAGCCATAGCGACTGTTGAAGGAGCAACCATCGGCACGGCGTGGAACCGGCATCGCGGCCGAGAATAAGGGCGATGCATGCATCGGCCAATGCGAAGCGACAGTTTGCGTGGAAGCATCGTGGCCAACCCCCGCAGCACGGCTAGCACTCCATGTAATGCCTTGCCGCACAGCACCCTGGACAAGATCATATTTAGGGATCTGGCTGATAATAGGGGCCCTCCAACCAGTGCCCAGAGCCCGGCAAACATCGAGCCCCAGAGTGACATGCCGCACTGGTGGCCCGCCGTGAGGAGCGCTCGTAGAAGCCGACCAACAAGCAACACAGGCAGGTCCGCGCGACAAGACTTCATTCCAGAACAATGACGCAGGGCGCCAGGGCTCACGAAGGACCTCACAATCAAGCTCATGTGGCCCATCCCCGCCAAGGACATGGATGACCGGGTCCATTACAGAATCGGCAAGGTCAACCAGAGCGACAACCAAGGTGCTGCGGCCTCGACGAGGCAGGCAATAAATAGGAGCCGTTCCCTCCAGAGTAACCTGGTGCAACCTCACACCCAGACAACGTTGTCGACCTAACCAAGTCAACAGTGCACGCTCCAAGGTCCATGTAAAAATCCCACTAGGTACAGTAAGCCGAACAAGGCCTAAGTCAACCGAGACAACATACACATGCTGCTGGAAATCCTCAGCAAGAGGTGTAAGCGTATGCTGCGGGACCTGGAACTGCGGGACCGCTGGAGTATTAGCAACATCGGAGTGAACCCGAAGAACATCACCATCGCGGATAGGAGTCCGTGCACCATCAGCAATCTGGAAGCTCTGTCCGGGGCACAAAGCCTGAAGCGCAGACAAGGCGGAGGGACCGGGCTGGCTCCTGGAGACTTCAAGGCAGATATACTCGCGGCCGGTATCAGCGATGATTGTGACAAGGGAGGGCTGCTTTGAGACAGCAACCAAGTGAATGCTCCTATCTAACGGCTGAGGCTCCCAAGGAATACAAGACCCACGATCCAGGGCAGCCTTGATTTCCAGCAGTCGCTCACGATAAGCAACGGGCGGGGCATCGCCATCAATAAGGAAACAAATCCTGTCCCCCGGGGCCCAAACACAGAACTGATATACAGGATGACCAGCATTACCATCCAGTGTTAGCCCTAAGATTGGTCGAGAGTCAATATAGACAAGACTCCGACTCAAGGTGGTATGCTCAGCAACTGAGGCCAGGTTAGGAACTTGCTGAGCAACCGTCCAAGGGCGACCCAGCGGGCCAGAGATCAGACCGGAGGACTCCGGGAGCTGCACGGCAGAAGCAGCAACAGCAAGGAAGCCTAACACCGCTAGGGGAAAACCCCGAGAAGGCGACAAGCTGCGAATAGTGATACCGCCAAGGAGCAGGAAAGAACAGCCACTAAAACAACGAGCGCCATTATGGTCACGACTCCCTGCGTCAGTCTCATCAGCGGACTCGATGCCCAAGTCCTCCGGAGGAAGACCAGGATCTCGATATCCAGCGGCAACATGGGTGTGTCGTCTGGTGACAACAACAGGAGCAGGGACCGCCGCAGTGAGTGGGTGAGTGGTGCAAACGGATCAACCACATGCTCCCGATGCATGACATGGACTAACCCTTGAGCCAAACTCGCATGGAGAGGATGATCCGGGTCAGGCTCCCCGTAGCTACTAACCGCAACAGCAATGCGCTCAGCCGGAGTCGACCCTGCATGGATCTGGATGACATAGACACCACCTCCAGAAGGTCGCAAGTCAACCACTCCCATCACGTCCTCATCACTGCAATAAGCAGCAACAAATTGAATGGCAGGCAGACGGTCAAGCGGAGGTAAAAGCCGGGCGAAACAGAGCCTGCCCCGAGCAAGCACCCTCAGATCGGCCGCAACAGCATGTAGAGCAGCCGACCGCAACGTCAGGTGATCAGCATACGAAGGAAGGCAGGTGTACGTATGCCCATGCAGATGTAGAACAACCGCATTAGCCCCACTCAGATCATGATAAGCAAGCTCCCCCACCGTAGGGAGGGAAAGACTAGTGCTAAAACGATCCTCCAGAGTGATCGGCCTGCCCTCAGGTCCTCTAAATCCAAGGACGTGATCGCTGCCTGGTTTATCGGCCAAACCTGGAACGCGTCGCCATGTGGGAGCAACAGCAATCTAGCCGTCGGATGAAACCACCCTTGACTAGTGCGACACAAAAACACTGGGTAGGGTCCAAGATGCTGGGCACGAATCGCTGCCTCGGCGATATCCCCACAAGACGCGCAGCGACCAGTGGTGAGAAGCATGATGCGGCCACCCATCGGACGCAAGTCAACTGGGACCTGAACAAGATTCCAGGCCAACGAACTAGGCGACAACACATGTTGTTCCGTCGGCAGGGAGGGCAAGGACTCCACAAGACGGCGAAGATGCCAGTCGGATTCTGCCAACCCATAAGCATTACATACCATGCGGCACAGAAGCCGGCCATGAACCCGATCATCCGAAACCAAGACGGTGGGCTGCTGTTCATTATGAGACCGAAAGACACAGATCGTACGAAGAGCCTGTGGTCCTGCCCGCAAGAGAGGCTCCACAATTGGTGCGTTCGGCACACGAACTGGCTGGACCTCACTGGTGCGGGCCACCTCGCCGACACTACTGGTAGTGAAAACCGGCTGGCCTTGAATCGTACTCTGCTGCCAGATTTGTACCCCTTGACACGGCCAAACCGAAAGCCAAAGCAAGAGTCCACTACGCCAAGAGAACCCAGAGTGACGTGGCCTGCTATGGGTGCGACTGTGAACGGCCTGTGTCATCCGTTGCTGACTGCTGCCCCTGGAGAAGGCCCTGCCCCAATACAAACACGCAGGCCGTGGAATTAAAGCAGCTCCCTCTGTACACACTATGTAGCAAAACCTGTACAGCCGTCGAGAAGCGAGCAACAGGAGCCACACAGCGGGCCTCAGAAGAGCTCCGCAATGCCATCGTCGGCCTCCCAGAAAACTGGACATCGTCTGGCGAGTAACACCTGAACCTCCGGTCTCGCCGAGATCTCCGTAGGGAGGTGGCCCCTGAGCAAACTGCCGTGTTCCACAATGGCGGCGGGAAAAAGCCACTCCTGTGCCGTAGACGGCGCAAAGGAATATGGGTCCAAAATATTTCCCACAGTAACTTGGGCCAGCAGAATCACGCCCTGTCGAACCCCACTGAGCGAGCTCGGGCACATGCGAAGCTGGTTGAGTATATCCTGTAGGCGAAGGCATAGAGAGGGGAAAGCCCCTTCCCCGTCCCCATCCCGATACAGCACCAGTGCCTGCCATAGCTCCTCTGCTGCAACCAGAACATCCGAACGCAGTTCTGTGGCATCCTGTAGTGGCATAACCTCGTCCTGCATGGAATCCCGCATCACTTCGCCAACAAGTGCAGAACCTTGGCTCAAAGCAAAACTCAGCACTTGCTGCTAGGCTGATTCCCAGGAGAGCCCACCATCGCCAGAAGCAACTAAAGGTGCAGACTGAACCACAGTGACGGCTTCTCGCCGGGCAGTGTCCGGGGTGGCACCTGTGGCCATCCTCGGCCACGGAGTCTCCAACGGCTCGGAACGCCGCGGACTCTTGGATGGGCGAGACCCATCGCCACCCCGACTGCGCTTCCATCGAGTCATCCTCGTGGAACCATCGCCAGCTGAGCCCCTGGAAGGAGCCTCGAGGGTTGGGTCCTGCCCATCTTCCGCTGGTAATGTAGGCGGGAAGCCGGCCCGCCGCGCCATATCCGGCCGAGCATCCGATGGCACAGGAAAGCTGCCAGCTCCATGATCTTCCATCATTGATGCAGAAAGTCCGTGGCCGAAACTGGCTACCGAGCCGTCGCCTGCGTGTCCCTGGCTGCTCCAATTCTGCAGTGGGTCCGGCCCACGAGACGGGGCATCGGCACTCGGCAGAAGAAGTGTGGGTCCCCCGGCCGCGACCAGCGAAGCAGACACATCTACAACACTGAAGGCCCTCATTGCCGCCACAATCCTGTAAATTTCCTGCTCTTGCCAGCCATTCCAGATCGGTCTTCCGATCTCCGCTTGTGCTGCAGAGACCTGCTCCTCGGTGGCACTGGAGGCCTGCATAGCCAGGGCGGCTCTCATTTCTCTGCAAGCCTCCGTCAGGTCCTCGTCGACCTTGTCTCCTAACGCCTTGGCTCGTTGAGCAAGGCCTGCAAGGTGCAAACCCAGAGTGCCAAGCCACTGAAGCAGGGATACACGGAGCTCCTCCTTCGCACGGATATCCCCCTGAAGCCGTTTTGACAGCTTGCCCATTGCAGCTGCTCGCCTCTGCGCCTGTTGTTCGACTGACATGTCTCCCATAATGGAGACTGGGTTGTTCCACAACTCTTGCGTAGATCGCGAGGTAATGGCCTGTAGGGATGTGACCATAGCCTGCGGAAGTGCAAACTCCACCTTCGAAGTTTGCACATTGGCGTCGGAACCTTTGCCTCGTCCCTTCGCCGGCTTGGCAGTCGCCGCCCCCTGAGATTTTGGATTGGGGGGCATGCTGCCGTGGTGAAAATATAGTAACTGAAAATCTCCTGGGAGAGCACGGCCTTGATGATACCTTAGTCTGGCCCGAGATCGGGCCTTGCGTTCCCGGCGATGCCAACTGGGAGAGGGTAGCTGTCGTGCTTTCCCCGTCCTCGCTCGCACCACAGGGCCGGAAAGACAACACAGCAGAGCTTTCCGGCTGCCCAATCCAGATGAGCAGAAGCCCCAGAAGGCCCAGGGGCACAATGATAATATAGGGTACCACACATACCATAAAAAGCCAAATAGGCGAGGCGGAGGTCGGCCTATCAAAAGGCAGCGACCAAGCCCGGTCGGAGAGCGCCTCCGACTCCCTCACCGAGAGGGATGGTCCAGCTATTGCACGCAAGGACCGGCGCTTAAGCCGAAGCAAAAGCTGGGGTTGGGGAGCACCGAAAAGGGTGAGGAAAACAGCAATAGCCGACACCTCCCCTACTTCGGCTCGAGCCGCAACGCCTTCTCAAGGTGCACCCCAAATCCTTAAACCTCAAACCCTACGCCCTAAATACACCCGAATCACAAATTTGCTCTGGACCCAGACCACGCAAGCTAAATCTTCACTCCACCAGAAGCCAGCCTTTCGACCCTGCTAAAACCCCTAGATCCTCAGCCCGACTTTTAAGCCTAATCCCTGAATTCCGTTGCACCACACATGACAAACGGACCGTGGTACACCCCAGCTTGCACTTAAACCTGAAGCCTTGAAAAGCCATCCCCAATCCGAGTTGCAGTAAGCTCCTAGCCCAAGCAGACCCGCTGAATCCATCCCCCGAAACGCCACAAGGTAACCCATGACCCCGCTTAATTGCTGAATCTTGACCCAGAGAAACCATCATCACGTTCAGTAACTCTAGGCCGCACAAACTCCAATGCCAGACCCAAGCTAAATCCCGAAACCTACTCAAACCCTTAACCCTCAGCCCGAACAAAATCGTAAACCGCAATTAGCCTCTCACCTCTCTGGCCCTTAACCCTAAACTGGCCCTAAACCCAAGTGAATCCATGCACCACAAACTCCTTGGACCTTTGACACCACAAAGCATCTAAACCCTCAGCCCTACTGAAACCCCAAAGACCACATAAACCCTGAACCTCAACTACCATGCGCCAGAAGTACACCGTCAACCACAAATAAGTTCTTGACCCCTACACCCTCGTTGCACCCCACGGCAGCCGTTTCGACCCTGCTTAAACCCTAAACCCTCAGCCCGACTTAAGCCAAACCTCAAACTCTAATTCCGTTGCACCAGTCGTAACAAACGGACCCAGCTAAACCCCAAACTGCACTTAAACCGTAAGCCTAAACCCTTAACCATCCTAAGCTTAACCGACTAAATTCCCAGACCCAAATAGACCATAAACCTAAACCCGCTGAATCCATGCAACCTACTGTAATCTCGCTTCAACATGAGGTGAAGCACTTTGACCCGGCTTACATTAAAAGCTAGGAAAATCCACTGACAGACGCAAGCTAAACCCCAAACCCTAATTCTGGCCTTGACCCTCAGCCAAAACTGAACCCTTAACTGCGATACACCTTTCAGCCGACCAGACCTCAAACCTAAACCCAACTGAAGCCATGCACCCTAAACTCCTTGAACCATTTACATCACAAAGTGTCCCTTCCGACCAGCTTAAACGTTAAATCCTCAGCCCAACTGACACCAAAACCTCAACTCCGCTAACCTAAGCCCTCGTTGTGCCACAAGCCATCCCAAGGTACCCCTGCAAACTCTACTTAAACCCTAAACCCTGAGCCCCAAAGACACCCGAAACCACCAACATGTGCTTAAGCCCAGCTGAACCCTAACCCTAAAACCCACTCCAAACCATGCACCCCAAATCCTCGTTTTCCAGGAGGCAACAAACCCTAATTCCTCTGCCCGACTTAGACTTAAACCCCACGTAAACCCCAAACCCTAAACTCCGCTGCAAAACAAAGCGACCCGAGGTGGGCCCACACTCTAGACCACTCTCAAACCGACTTACACCCGAAACCTCAACTGCAAAGAAGCTCCTAGCCTCAAGCACACCGCAACCCCTGAACCCACTGAAACGATGCACCCTAAACCCTCGCTACAAATGAACGCCACAAACGAGGTAACACTTAATTTACTTCCTGAGCCCGAACCCTAAACACCACGAACACCATGTAATTGGCCCTAAACCCTAAACTCCTCTGGCATCAGGTACCCTAAACCCGTTGCACACCCGCTTGAATTCTTGGCCCCAAATGAAACCCCAACCTTCAACCGCAATTAACCTCTCACCCAACTAAGTCTTCATCCTAAACCCAACTGAAGCCAAGCACCCTAAAGCATCCCGTCGGACCCTGCTTAAAATCCTCAGCCCGACTGGGACCCCAAACAACACTTTTCCCTCGATCCTGACTTCTAATCCCTGCTTGGCCCACAAGCCACCCCATGGTAAACCCCTGCTTTCCCTAAACCCTAAGCCGTTTTGACACCCTAAACCGCGATTAGCCTCTTCACTCTTAACCTACCTCACAAGACCCCACTGACCAAACCCACCCTCAGTCCCCACCTAAACCTGTATAAGTCCTCAATACACCTTAAACCTTCTCGGGCTGCTTCGTTTGCGCAGTGCTCTTTTTGAAACTTCCAGGCTCAGACACCCTGCTGACAGCACAGCTATGTGCACAAATTCCGAGAATAGCATCCGACACCTCAAAGCGCTCTACTGTCACTTAGACCCAGATGAAACCCCAAGGGAACCGACAACCACAGTACTGCTGCGGCAGTAGAACGCGTACACAAGGAGTCAGCTGCAATACGAAGGCTTCGAGCATTCAAAGGGCATGGGCTGCACCCAATCAGAACAGCCCAGCATGGAAGACACGAACACAAGACTGGAGGTCGGCTAACTGTGCGCCGACAGCAGCGCCCCTGTGTTCCTAAAGTCAAGTTCATGTTGGCCGGCGGGCTGACCCTGGAGAATCCAACAGGGTTTGGAACACAGGTGCGCAGCTGCGAAACGGACTCCAGCCAGCTGCATTTCCTGGAACTCAGATCCTCAGCGGATGGAGGAAGGAATTTCGTGGGACTTGCTTCACCTTATTGCAGAGGAAAGGCCCCGAGACCTCGAGAGTTGTGATGACAAAACCGTTGATCTTTAGGGAGGGATGCCTGCAATTCGTTTCCTGGGGTGTGTGGACTGAGGGTCTCACAGGACTGGTTGGGAGTTGGGAGCTTGGTGATGGGCCGAGGTCGGCAAGACACACTAAGGGAACTGCACGATTATGTCTAATCCGATACAAGCTCATTGGTTGTTCATGATGATGATGATGGTGGTGATGATGATGATGATGACGACGACGATGATGACGATGATGATGACGACGACGATGATGATGATGATGACACCGTTATGTGCAACCTTGCTGCGAGATCTCCGTGGAATCCACTGCGAGAGACATCTTCTTGCTGGTTGCCTGTGCAATGTGACGCCGCATGCTGCAATGTGCCGGCAAAGGCCGTCGCTGAGTCTCAACCATCCCCAACCATGTCTGGGTTGTAGTTCTGGGGCCCTGGAAAGTATTTTTGAATAAGTACCTCTATAGGAACCATAGGGGAAACTTTAAAGTTTCCGAAGGTGCCATGTAGATATATACACTCATACGCTCATTCGTGCATCCTACATACACATATCACCCGAGCCCTGTGTGACACCTCTCGGATCCAGTGCACGAGTTCACAATGAAGCAGAATTGGGGAGGTTGCTTTTAGGAATTGCTTTTCGACCCTGAGAAGTGTTCTGGTTGTTTTTTGTTGTGGTGGTCAAAAAGCAGCACGCAGCAAGATGCAATGAGAACGAGAATGTGTTCGAGCAACCACAGCCACAATACTTCCACAGTACATCCAGGAAGCTTGTGAAAGGGTTTTGGGTTTGGGGTATACCGTCAATGTTCAAGGTTTTCATTTCGTCTGCGCCTTTGTGGGAGATGCTATATAGCTGAAACGTTCGGTCGTTCTGGGCTTGGGTCCTGGCCCTTGTGAATCTCCATTGATGGCCGTCGTCGTCCTGGGTTTGGTCATCCCCAATAGTGGTGGCCCCGGGATTTTGGCGGCTTTGGAGGTGTTCGCAAGCCTTCCCCTGCAATCCCGTCAGCCGTCAACGTGGGACCAGCTCGCATCATTTGCCAAGCTCCGCAGGAGCCGTTAGGGAGGAGCAGCGCGGCAGCATTGCACCGTCGTCCGCGCCCCTACATGGTCGCTTCTTGGTCCATGTTCACTGACAGCCCGCATGCACTGCACAGGAAAAGGTACGTGAAAAATCCAAGTCTTCCAGAAGCGGCTGTTAACGAAAGGGATCCTGGTCCGGACTTTAAGGTTTTGAGAAGCACATCTAGAGGCGTTACAGTTACATTGCAGTTGCTTCTTTATTTTCCAACTTTCCAAAGCCTTACCAGTGGTTTACCAAAAAAACTTTTCTTCGGAGCCTCGGCGTCGGGGTAGACGCAAATTCCCAGCAGACTGGAGAGGTGGACGCCTTGGACGTTTCGGCATTGATGGATAACAGTTGCAATAATGTTCCGCGGCAGGAACGTATGCTAAATTAGACTGAAAACACAAGGACTCGGCGTTGTATAACCAGTGTCGTACGCATCATCCGATTTAGAAGACCTCGACCCGTTCGGCTGGGTGGCACTTGGAGCCCTCAGGACAGCCACCGAGGATGCAGGCCAGTGCGCCTGAGAGCAAGCGCAGCTGAGACGAATCCAAGGCTTATAATTGCGAATCCCAGGGTTATAGTCATGGTAGATGAAAGTGTGTTCTACGTAGTACATTTTGGTATATGATAGCATCTTATAGTATATTGTGTTTTCGGAGGTGTTGCCGCACAGCAGGAAGCGATTAGGAGCCTGCAGTGGCTCCTGGCTGGGGAGGGAGGGGCTAGCAGGACTTCATCCACTTATGTCCATCATACAAACTGGGGCGAATCTGAATCTGAAAAGTCTCCGCTCTTTCTGCCGCTGAGGCACAGTACTTGCTTCCCGAGCTGCTGTCCTGCGCGGGGCGGCTCGCTCCAAGACTTGGGAGCGACTTTCGTGGAAGCTGCTGGGGCTGCCGTCCCTAAACACAGCAAAGAGCATCACCTTCAGGTCAAAAGCCCATAAGCTTGTGAGCAAAGGCGGCAGGGAGGGGCCAGCTACCTTGCCGGTTCTAGTTTGAAGGAATAGTTGAGAAAGCCTGCGGATTTGAAGAGTGGCGAAAGTACTCCAAAGTGACTCCGAACTTTACCCCGCGAGGCCCCGACCTGGAGGATGCACATGGGCTTGGCCGTGGTTCCCTCGGGAGTGTCGCTTGGGCATGAGCCTGGGCGCCCGACAACAACAAGCTGCTGCGGTGTGGCTGGCAGAATTCCCATGTAAGGGAACAGGAACTACCGGTATCCACGGCAAGGCGCCGGAGTCACAGTGCGGAGCACAGACGCTGCCACCAGCACCCTCCACCTGAAGCTTCTGCTGTCAAGCGAGTTCTTCCAAGCACGGGCCCAACGACGGGGTTTGCAAGCAGCAAACGGCTCAGTAGCCATCCGAAGGCGCTTTTTGTCACCGGGGCGGGCCTCGGCCTGGGCCTCGTCGCTCTGGCAGGGCGGCTTCTCGTAGTGCGACTTGCCTCGCTTTAAACCAGGCTTTAGGGCTCAGGTAAGGTGTAATGGAGCAGCTGTACCACAGCAGCAATCACGAGACTTCTGCCGCTGGAAGGGGTGGAGCGAAGAGCTAGACACTGCAAAGGCCCCGGACCGTGACCAGGGCAGGGCAGGGCAGGGAATGAAGGAGACATAGTTTCCGAAGGCACTGTGTGCCGCCAGGAGGCTTGGGGTCGGTGAGGGGGGGGAAGGTGGCGACGGGGAAGGCCTCAGACCGGTTTGAGACTCGATCGCATTCTTGAGGTTTGGAGCAACTCAACTTGGGGCTTCCGTGCTTAGGTCAGTTGAGGTGTTTGGGAATTTCCGTTCTTTTTGTTGTGAGGGGTTTGGGGGCTTCAAGGTTTCGGGTTCTGGCTTCGGTCTTGGACCTTTTTGGAGTTCTTTGGAAGCTGCAAGAACCCAAATCCTTGGACTGTCTTCAGTTCCCCAAAGCTCAAGTCCAAGGCCTTCTGCTCGGAACGACTTCGCGAGACCTGGCCTCAACTGCTCAATTAAGTTCTCTTCGTTGCAAAGCCTGCGACCATGCGATCCCCAAACCTACCAAGTCTTTGTTTGAAATCCCTAGAGCTTTGCACGGGGCAGACGAGTATAAGATGTTTACTCCTATTTCTTGCCCCCCCCCCCCCCCCGCGCCTTTGTTGCTTAGGGTACAAGATTTCAGAATCTCATCTCTTGAGAGCCCCCTTCTCTTTTTCTCATGTCTGTTGCTCTCCGAGGCTCGAAGGGCCGGGCTTTCCCGAGACGACCGGGTAGGAGGCTTGAGACTTGATCCCGCACCTGAAGTCTTGGGGCTCTTTAGGAGGCTTTTCAGGGCTCTTCACATGGTGCTTCAAGGGCTTTTCAAGCGTCTTCTTAGGATTCTTTTGTGCTCTTCTTCAGGGTTTTCAAGGGTTGAGGATTTTCAGGCTTTAGGGCTTTGGGTTCAAAGCACCCAGACCTTTGACTCTTCCCGTTTGTGTTTTTGGACCCGCACCCGATCCGGCATGGATTCTGTCCCCATGGCCGCGGATGTTGGCGACGACGATGAGCAGTACCTCCTACCATCTTCTACCATTGAAACTCCTCACGGCGAAAGCGGAGCCAAATCCGCTCCGAAAGAGCCGCCATGCGCACATGCCCCTCCCAGCCTCCGAAGCTTTGGCGCGAGGCCCCAAGAGAAGAAGAGACGCTAAGACCCAACACCTAACTGCTGCCTGCAGCGGCCTTGGGGCCGATGTTGCCTTCGGGTTCCGCTGCAGTCAAGCGGAGTTTGAGGTATTTAGGGCTTCTCAGGGTTCGACAAAGGTTCTTGTGATGGCCAAGCCTGTGGCGGTCAGACCCCAAACAGTGAAAGAGCAGTAAGGCTGCTCCACACCCCTTAAACCCTAAAAACCCTAAGCTCCCTAAGCCCCAAACACTCTTGCCAAAGCCGGGGCACTCGCCGGGGCCCGGCTTTCCTCGCTCGAGCTTCACAAATCCGTCCATGCCCCAGGTGGAGCCCCAGGAGTTCTTCACCTCAAGACTCAAAAGAGGAATGCGCAAATCAAAGGCAAAGCCACGGAGGCGCCTCGCTCGAGGCTCCTACCAAAAGCAAAGGCGCTAAGGCATGCAAAAGCGTTCCGGTTCACAGGAGCTCCGAGCTTGGAAAGGGGTGAGCCAGGCAAAAGCCAGCTACGCGGAAAAGGCCTTCCGATTCTGATTTTTGCTTGAAGTCTCAACAAGGGTGTGCAACAGCTTTATATGCATAGCTGCTGCGGCTTGCACATCCCAGTCAGAAGTGCAATCTGGGTCGGGCATCTAGTATAATTAATACGAAATGAAATAATTGGTGCATATACGCACGCATCTACAGCAGCAGGTGCAGGGAGATTCTCATCCCACAACATGCCGGATTGCATGGCTCATCCTGCTTTAACCGCATGCTGCGTTGCCCGGAGATCCGCACGCCCTCCAAAACGAAGTCCAGCAGTCGCTACAATAACTGCGCTGCTGCCCTACGGAAGGATGCCGCCGCTGCACTTAAACTTCCGTCTCGGTCCGGCTTATGCGGCCTGATGGATCCTTATGCTCGTAGCCAGTTTGCACCGCTGAGACCTGCATCATTAATTGCTTTCCCTTACTGCCGAATCATGCCAACGTTGGATGTTGCTTGGGCGAAAGCTATGAGGGAACAACCAGGTCTGTAATAGTTTTGCAAAACAGTGTTGCTAGGACCACTACTAGCACCAGCACTAGCAATAATAGGAGTTAGGAGTTTGGGGATCAGGATTAGATCAGCCCCTATGAATCAGGGTGTGACAGCACGCTGCATATGTGCGAACTCCCAAAGCTCTCAGGGCGAAAACTGCTGGTGGCAGGTGAAGACAACTGCAAGTATTTTCATGTTACTGGAGGGACGAGTAGCAGTTTATCAATTGGCAAACCGATCAATGAGGCAGGCATCTGCACCATTCCGCGGCTGCAGTGCGAGGAGATTCTCATCCCGCAACATGCCGAATTGCAAACACCTCCACAAGACACCGACAATGGACGACTGCAGCAGTCACAACCGTACCTGCATGTACCTGCGCTGCCGCGCAAAGAAGGATACCCTGCAGCGCTTGAACTTCCGTCTCGGTCCAGCGCATGCAGCCTGATTGATCCTTAGATGTCATGCTGCTCTACTCTAGATCCGAGACATGGTCAAGGAGAGCCCTGTCTTGCTGAACTGGCTTCCGGCTGATGAGCTGAGTACGAGGACCAAGTTGAGTCGAGACTACCCAAAGCTCCAAGACCCGCCTTAAGCCTTCGCATGCTGCAGTCCTAAGGCAAATTCTGGGGCGGGTCGAGGCTTTACAACAAGGGCTTCTCCAGTCTAGGTTCCGGCACTCTGTGTCGACGCCGGTTCCGACGTTCATCGTGCAGGTGGCAGAAATCGCAAAGGGCTCCGTTTTTGCAAACCCTGAGCGGAGGTTTGTGACAACCTGAGAATGGCATCAGATGCTATGAGGTGCTGCGTGGAACATCTTTTGGTAAAGCCAAGCAGAGTTTTGTGCAATGCGAAAACTATCCTCTTGCAACCAGCGCGCTACAAACCAAGCACAAGGCATTTGTGCCGTCGCCAACATGAAGGGCGATGCCGAAGGAGAGCTCAAGCCTAGACTCCTCCTCCGTCGCCTACGCCGTGTGTCTCATTTGCATGTAGTCGCTGTGCCGGATGCAAGGCGCTGGGGAGTTGACGAGCGAGATGATACTGCCTCGTTCAAGCTGCAATCGTCTGGCACCAAGCCTTCCGGGCTGTTCTGCGGGCCGAGCACACGGTGCACATTCTCGGACTCCTCCGAAGTGAAGCTAGCCCTGGCTGAACTGAAAACCGGGGTCATGGAACGTCTTCCGGTGCAGGAATCTCGTCTCTGAAAGGAACCACGGAGTGAGAATCCATGCCCAAGGCCGTAAAACTGTCGCAATCGCAGTTATATAGAGAGCAGATGTGGTAGCTGTAGCAAACTTTGACCGGTACAATAAGAAGGCTAAAAACGCGCAAGCTGCGGAAGCCTACGGAACCAAGAGCTTGCTTGACCTTGAACCAACGCGGCTGCACAGCGTTGGGTAGTGCAACCATGACACTATGTAGGTGCTACAGCTGCATAAAGCTGGGTTGTAGTTCTGGGGCCCTGAAAAGTCTTCATGAATAGGTGAATAGGCACCTTTTTAGGAACCAAAAGGGAAATTTTAAAGTTTCCCAAAGTGCCACCTAGAAAAACTGCTTGAACGCTATGTTCGCTACTCATCTTTTGGAGGCGAGTGAGGTAATCTCGACCTGAGCCTCACACGAGCCAATAGTCCGTGCCATCCTCGGTGCCATAGCCTCAGTTCACAGATGTTCACAAGAAACGTCCCACTGCCGCTTCTACCGGAAGATTCTCCACTTCGGCTGCGCCTCATCCTAACGCCGACCAGGAGCCCACCACCAAGACACCATGGTCAAGCTTCGTGCCGCAGGTCTTGGTGAGGACCCCGCTCCTGGGCGGGGAGGCAGATGCTTCAATCTGCGATCTGTCGCAGCTTGCAGACCGAGGCTCTTGTACATCTGGAAAGCCATCCTCGGCTGAGGCTTAAGCGGCGACCGCGGAAGTCAAGTAGCAAGCCTCGACATTTTTTCTTCTTTCCAAGAGCAGTCGGCCTGATCTTCCAATTTACGGATCCAAGTCACAGGGCCGACGTCCCGATCGAAATGCCACGGAAACTCGTGTGGCGTTACTGTGGGTAGACAACCATTAGCACATCACGAGATCCTAGACTACCAGACTACGACAGGTTTCAGTGCGAACGCCTCAGCAATCCCAAGAAGGACAAGGCGCTGGTCGGCCTCAATGGCAACCGAGACCGGCTGCTTGGAGACGGCGTCCATAAGGGCCTCCACGGTGGACGGTGGCTCTCAAAGCTTGAAGTATCTCTGGAATTCTGCGGAAACCTGCTCGTCATCGACCTTGACATCCTGCAGAGGAGTCCGGAGATGTGCAGAGAGAGCCCTGCTTGGGGGCTGATTTTTGCCCTTGCGCATCAGGGTTTAGGCCTCTACTCTACTGCTGCAAAAGCGTGCCACCTCCTCTACTCCTGCTGCTGCTGCTGCTGCTACGATGACGACGACTGTAGCTGCAGTCCTTGTATCCGGTTACGCCGTGGGCCGGGATTCCCACGGTGCAGCCGGAAGCCTGCTCCGGGGCAGAAAGAGATCGCAAGGGTGTAGGGCGTAGGCTCTTAGGGTGTTAGGTTCGAGGTCGTAGGCCACTAAAGGGTTCAGGGTTTAGGGTTTAGGGGCTTTACGGCCTTGGGGTTTTAGAGTCTTTTTTGTCAAGGGTGTTGGGTGCCACGAGATGCACCGATGATCGACCCAGCAGGACCTTCTAAAGACCAGCTGCGCTGCACGACGGTTATCTCGGATTTGCTGGCCTGTACAACAGCAGCAACAACAACTACCACAACTACCACAACAACCACCACCAGCACCACCACCACCACCACCACCCCTGCACAACCCGCGAGACACAGCTACCTCAATGCTCACTCAGGAATGCGCCAGGCTCATTTCAGCCGGGTCACTTCGTGGACCACGCAGGGACAATGCTACGAGTTGCACGCTCTCCCACCTTGCAGATGCCGTTCTTGGCAAGGTAGGGGTAACTGTCCTGCAACACCCGGCTGCGTAGAGAGGATCCGCACTGCCAATTCCCCAATGCCCAAACCGGAGAGAAACTCGCCAGAGCCCTGAGTCGGCTCCTCGGTGCAGACGGGGGCTTGCTCCTGACGAAAGCCGGTCTTCTCTCCCCGACGCATCCTTCGCTGCCGAAACCCCAACCCGGCCCCAAAAACCCAGACCAAGGAGTGCAGAAAGTCGAAAGCTTCTGATGCGCTCTCACATTCAGAGATCACAGGTCAATGCCGAGGCTGCACCGAATTCCTTCACCGCTACGAAGTCTGAACTGCCTCTTGCCAAACCTGGTCGTTCCGCAGCGTCCTCGTATTTGAAGCCGTTGTCCATGAGCCCACCGCTGCAACCTCTCTTCTCCAAAGGAGAGCGCCCTAAACCCTCAACTTCCTAAACCAAGGCGTAAGGACAAGGGGTCGAAGGGTCTATCAACCTTTGAGCCCGAACCCCTAAAGACCTAAGGATCCCAAACCCCCAAACCTAAGCAATCATGCCCCCCAGCCCGATGCTTCAAGGCAAGCCCGGGGATGTTAACTGGGAAGGCCTTGGTTGCCGAACTTCTTGGAGCAGTCCACCAACTGCTGCTCAGAGAGGGACACGAGCCTTGGCCAAGGTACTCTTGCTGGGCCCTGGAGTTTGGCCTTTTTTTGGCTGGGCTTTAGGCTTTCGGATGGAATTTGCATGTAGGGTTTCAGGGCCAATCTGTCTCCCTTGCATTCCCGGAAGCTTGCCCGTGGCAATCGCCCAGGCGCCCTCCAAAGCTCCGGTGGTCGAGAAAGCCCAGCCTAGCGGCAGAGCACTTTGAAACTCTGGGCAATGGTGAGCAAGGGGCCATAAGGGTAAGAGAGCCGCAGCATGCTGGCAACAACACTCATATATGAAGAATTATGAAGATACCGCATTATACTCAACAGATCACGAAGGGGAGTGGCGTCCTCAAGACTTACTGTAAGCCCAATTGTGGGGGCTGGAGATGTTCGCCGCGAGAGCAGTTCAGGAAGACGGCTGTTTCGTTGTCACTGACACGAAATGCGCAATTTAATGCGAAAGATGCTGTAAAGTTGTTGTGTCAGAAGAAAACTACTCATGTTGGAATTATGTGGGGGGGTGTAGGACGGCCGAAACTCATGCTTCATAGGCAGGGCTTGGACCATAGGGTGAGGCTGCACGACTGTCTTGCGGGAGCCTTGAGCAATCGGGAAATGTCAGTACAACATGTCCGGACATCGTTCACGGCAGTCTGCTTGCACACCCTCTGTGCGTCAGCTGGGGAGCATGAACCGCACTGCTTCTGGTTCTTGACCGGCGTCACTGCCTCAAGACCGCGGGCCAAGCCATAGGCACTACGGAACGCATGAGCAGAGCGAAAGCTCTGCCGCAGGAGTACACACGCCCTAAGCACTCCAAGCGCAAGCCCAGCCTTTCCACGCCAATCCACGGACGTCGGGGCTGTGGAATTGCCCACCTCCGCAATCTCAGAGATACGATGGACGGGAAAGGCCCTTCTCCCGTCATCTCCAGTCCCTCCGGGCCTGGTGCGTGCCCAGGCTTGGGAGGCTCCCCCAGACGGGTGGGGCAAGGCCCAGCTTGCTCATCTTGAACCTCACAGTCCAATTTGGGGGAACCTCAAATTGTGCTTCTTTGCATTTAAAGAGACGTGCTTTCGGAGTCCCAAACTCGCTTGAAGGGTTCAAGATTCAACAGTTCAACGCCTCCCGAGCTGCAGGTTAGCATACACCCAAACAATCCATCACGCGACACCTCTAAAAGCCCAAGTCTTCCAAGCGGAACGTGTAGTTTCCGAACCTACACCCGACACTAACGCAAGCATGCAGGGACGTAACCCAAAAGGCTGCATGCATCAAAACCGTGTGCGAGTGTTGGAATTTCCAGGGCACTCATCCATCGTCATGTCCGAAAACTCGTTGAGGCCGAGCTTGTAGGAGTAGCCCTTTCCCCGGAGTGATTCCCACGCCTAGGGCCTACCCTGCCTACCCGTGCGTGCATGGGCTCACAGATTCGCCATCGTGGCAAAGCCTTCCAAATTGGACCCTAGTCTTTTGCCTTGGCATTCTCCTCAGCGATGTATTCAAAGTTCTTGGCGAAAGCAGCGAAGCGAGCCTGTAACTGGAAAATGCGAGCACACCGCGATTCTTTCATGCATGCAATGTTTATGGTTTTGTTAAGCCTCTGATGTGGCCCGGCAACAACTGATGCGAAGCACTCGGGCTAAACTGAATAAGAAGCCTTTTTATCTGCGAGAGTTTCAGCATTTTGCGTTGTTGAGGCGACCGGACGTGAGTGAGCTGTCCACATGAGCTTATGCAGCCCCGTGGTTCATCTGGCACAGCTTCCACTAACCGACTAACCTCCCAGCAGGATCAGTCCATGAATTTGCAGCAATCTTCTTAGGGAGGGACCCAACAAGACCCGAGCACCATTCACGGAGAAAGAGCGAGAAAGAGAAAGGGAAAGAGAGCGAGGTTTCGGAGGGGTGCCTGCTTCTCGATGTCGTCATAATCCTTCTGGAAGTCCTTCAAGAACCTTTCAGCCAATCCCGGACAGAATGCAAGGGGGGCCCTACATCGCGTGTCGTGGCTACCGGCCTGGAATAGTCTTCCAAAGCACGCAGGCAAACTCATAAGCAGTGCGCAGCGTTCTTCCCCGTCCCAGCTTTGTCCGAGGGAACACCGCAACCTGAAGCCTTAAACCATTGAAGCAGCCCGCTAGTTATCCACCCATCTGCCGCGCGGCTGGTCAAAGGCCTTCTGAACATCATCACGGGGCTGCTGGGCCTCTGCGCTCGTGCGCATGCACAATCAGCGTCGCGATCGCAGAGGAGAATCTGCACAGACGACTTAACAAGGCCCTCCAATTCCAAGGATCTCTCGCCTCCACGAAGCCCAGCAAAGCCAAAGCGGTACCCAACACCTGTCGGGTCAGCGAAACGAAAACTTCAGCTCGCAGGATGCCCGACGAGATGCTGAAACATCGAGACAGGCAGAAAGCCTAGTGCTTGACAGGTCGGCACCAAACTGGGACCCAGCGCAGATCCCTGAAGCAAGCCCGTTCTGAGTGCAAGCAACGCGCAAAATCAAAGCCGCGGGATCCCGGCCTTTGCCATGCTTGTCCAGTCTTCCGAGGCGCAGGAGTGTCGGAGCTCAAAAGGGCTGCGGGCACGAAACCTAGCGCAACCAGGGGAGGTTTCAGGGCCTTCACGGCCAAAGAAATCGTAGGGATCGAAGTTTCGATCTGCTACCGCCACGAAAGAGAAAGGGTCTGCCTCTCGAGTGCAAGCCGAATGACAGATGGCCAGTACACATTGAACTGCTACGTCTGCTACGTGAAGCCGATCCCCTGTGAGCAGTGTTTCCAAGCTTCAGCAGCTCTAGACCCCGACTTCGCCTCTAGTTCTACATTTCTATACAGTTCAATCATGCTGAACGAACCACGTCTCCCTGAGACCGTGCATCCGGCACCTGCCAGGGTCCCGGGATGAAGCTGAGCACGATGAGCGCGAAGAACGCGGTGCCTGGGAGAACACCACGACGCAGGTACTCCGGGCGATTGAGCTGTGGCGTTCTCTCCGCTGTTGACGCGCTGATCGGACACCCGATGCGCTGTTTCTTTGATTCAGAGGGCTGCCGCGGTTGAGGCGCATGGTGCAGCTTGAGCCACTCTGCAGGGCAGAGTAACGTGGACTCGGAAGGCTCAAAGACGCAGGTGAGGTACTCTACGGCGATCTTCGGTGTGAGGCAGAGATGCTGTTGAGTCTGTTGTGATGGGCGCTGCTTGACATTGCTCGGCGCCGTTGATGCAAACCCGCTCGCTGCTCCACCCCGCAGCTCAATCCATACTGTGCTCACGCTCGGGCGCCGGGTCTACTTGAATCTGAGATTTGCAAACACAAAGTCCAGGGCCCATGGCCCATGGCCGTCTCCTGCTACAAGACAAAACCGAGCAAGCGAATGGGACCTTGTTTGCACAAGCCAGGTTTGATTCAAAAGGCTGCAGGAGCTTCAGAGCTGTGAAATTCAAGATCCTCGGGGCTTCAGTGGCTCATCGGGTCTCAACTTTTGGGCTCCATGTGTTTGTTGTTTGGGCTACTGGTTATGCGCGGGGGACCGACGTTGATCCGAGCTGCTCGAACGGAGGTTCTGACGGTCCTTAAACATAGAGATGCTATCTACGGACAGATCAACGACAACGACTTTGGCGCATTGCGAAAGCATAACATGAGCAAGGCAACAGCTCCCGAAACTTATCCCAGCACTCTGCTCACGACCAAGCCCACTTGAAACATCTCCACCTTCCCCACCAACACCCCAAGACGACATCCAATTCCGTCACGTTCAGCTGACCTGGTCTGCTCGTCCCCGTCGCAGTTTCGAAGCCCAGACACCCTCCCTGAACGTTCGTTCAGTGGAAGCCGAGACATCGACCAAGCCACTCCGGCTCTGCCAAGGGTGGACCCCTGGCAGGACGCGAGGGCTTGGAATGCGGGGTTATTGTGGGAGGATCTGTAGCTTTTCTCAGGATCGTACCGGTGCCGACTTCGGGCCTGCAGTATGGCTCTTGCTTTCTGAAACTCTCGGCTTACCAAGCATCGGACTGAAGACACAGCGACATGTATGTACGTCTCTATCTATTTATCTACCTTCCTACCTTAGTAAGAAACTAAGTAAATTAGCAAGTAATTAAGTAAGTAAGCAAATAAGTAAGCATGTATGTAAGTAAATATGTATGTAGGGCCCGAATTGCTCCCATCACCGGGAGAAGATCGTAGAGCCCCAGAACCCCTTAGGTGCCCTTCCGGGCGGGGTTCGACATGTCATGGAGCTGCCGCTGCTGAGGGTCTGTGGCGCCGTGCAGCAGAATCCGCACATGTGAGCCTTGGTGAGCGGCGCCGACTCAACGGTTGAGCAGAAGGAGAAGTACAGGCCCCAGGTGCTCGCCAAGTGCGTATGCACCCCAGGTACGGAGCAAGTGTGCATTCGTGCGACAGGCGGCCTCGAGGAGGTCATGAACGAACTGGCGGCCATGGTGTGGGACCCTGGCCTTCAACTCTTGAGTATCCTTTTTGGGGAGTTCAGATGGGTCTTCTTGCTGCCGGGTGTCTTCGCGATGTTCGGCACCATCGGCTACATGTTCTGCAGCCAGGCGCATTGGGGCGATGCGCCGGTGAAAGTGCGGCGCAGGACTTGTGGATGGAGCTTGCGTCTTGCGTCTGAACAAAAGCTTTGGGTGGCAGGCGTTCATCCTTGTCACGGCTTTTCTTTTCGTGATGTGGACCTTTATTCGTGCAACAGGCGGCCTCGATGAGGTCATGAACGAGCAGGCGGGCCTTCAACTCTTGAGTATCCTCTTTGGGGAGTTCAGATGGGTCTTCTTGCTGCCGGGTGTCTTCGTGATGTTCGGCACCATCGGCTACATGTTCTGCAGCGAGGCGCATTGGGGCGATGCGCCGGTGAAAGTGCGGCGCAGGACTTGTGGATGGAGCTTGCGTCTGAGGAAAACATTCGTGTGTGTGGCAGACCAAAGCCAAAGCAGCGGATTTCGTTCCAGCAACGCTGCCTGCGTGAGCAAGCGCTTCAGTGGGAGATGAAGGCTTTGGAAGTTCTTGTGAAGGCCAGCGATCTGTACGAGAGCCATGTCACGGCTCTCAAGCAGACCTTGGCTGCGTGATGCTGGTGCACCGGGGCATTTAGCAGGTCTTCGGGCCCAAGAATTGGCTCGCACTCGAGCGTATGTGTGTGT